CTCCCGGCCGACCCTCTCCATGTCGGCCGCGGCTAGATGGCGTCACGCTGGCCTCTGACGGCCGCGTGGCCATGCCCCACGCCTCCGCCAGCGGTCCGGCCCGGAAGTTGAAGAAATCGTCAGCAGCTGCTGCCAACCACTTCGCCCAATGAGCTCCATATCCGGACGGCTGCCACGTGGGCAGTGCCGGCCGTCCGGCACGCCACGAGACCGCCCCCCCCCCCCCTCCCCCACCCTGGCAGCAATGAGACGCAATTGGAAGGGGAGGGCCTGGGCCGCCGAGAAGCGGGCACGCCGCCGGGCTCGGCTTACCCGGCCAATCTGCCGGCCGCGGCCGCCGCCGAACTCGAGCCGGCAGATGCAGATTAGAATGGCTGGGGCGTGCCTCCGGCACCGACTGGCTTCCTGCGCCGTCTCGGAACAGCCGGCACGCCAGAGTACGTCCTGGTACGGCTCAGTGCCATGCCGGGAGTGTCTCATAGTTAGTAGTGCACCGTAGGCCCGATTCCATCCTGGGTAGCATCCACCAGCCGTGGTGACTACGACCCTCACCGGCAGCCGCGCCGGCCGCGGGGGACACTGACCGGACGACGAGGGACACTGACCGGACGACGAGGGGACAGCCGGCAGACGCCGACCGCCAATCAAACCATTCCGCATCAACGACAGACGCCGAATTAGGGGCCCGCTTGGGGCGAGTAGCGGCGCGCGGTCGGACGCTCCCACGGCCGAATCACACACCGGATGGGAGCCGCGGCATGGTGAAACTAATGTGCGGACGGCGCCGGATGCGGGCAGCGTCGGACGCCCAGTCGAAATCGCACCTCGCTGGCCGTCTACAGTGGGCTCGACATTTCAGGCCCTTGGCCCGGACAGGCAACACAATCGCAGAAACATTGTTAAAACGCCTCCGCCATCATGTAACAGGTTAGACATGCGAGCAGCGAGTTCGAGACGGCAACTCTCTAAGATTTCTTACAACTTGAAGGAAAACTTCACCACAAAGTTTCCAGAAACGCACTCATGATTTGGGATAGCACGCCACCTTTTTACACGCACGGGCCTCAATATAAGTCTGGCCGGTAGATTTTCGGGAAAACTACGCTGGCAGCGTGCGCTCGCGAGTGGCTCGTATCTGCACATGCACGCCATGGCAGAGTGTTCCAGAAGCCATTCTGGTCTTGGTAACGTGACTCATTAGGGGCTGCGGGGCCCGCGGGGTCGACGGCAGCCGTCCCGTTACCGCTCAAATACACATCGCATTCCACGGGCCAGACGGGCCAGCCACCGGCCGGCTGGCCACAGCGTGATGGGGCCGTGGCCAGACATTGACACAGGCTGACGGCGACCTGTCAAACCCGTCCGCTGGCCCGGCCTCTCTCTGACCTGAACTCAGTGAGAAGAGGCAGACGCCCGTCTCCTCTGCTGAGGTGCGATGTGACGAGGAGAACGTGTCGAGCGAAATAGGGGCCCATGGGAGATCATTTCGCAAGACAAGCACACTAATCATCGCATTTTTAAGACACAACGCGCAAGACCGATTCACAGAGTTGCAACAACAGCAGCAGCGGCGGCGGCAACAACAGCAGCCATCCAGATCCCGGTAGTGGGCTCTCAGTATCACTCGGAGCACGGAGGTGACCTCTATTTTTTTTACCCGGAGTCCACCTCTATCTGTCGCCCGGAGGTGACCTCAATCGCCCGGAGCCCACCTCTCCACACCGTACGGAGCCCGGGTGCCGGGTTTCCGTCCGGCCCGGTCGGCCGAGACGCCGAAGAGCTGCGTCTAGCCGACCGAGATGCGGCCGGCGCGGCGGTGCCGTCGTTCGCAGACCGCTGCGCCGTCGGAATCGCGCGGGGATCTCCGGAATCCGCCGGCCCGGCGTCCATTAGGCCGGCCTCATTAGCATGACGCCGCGGCTCCGGTCCTCCGCGGCCAGCCGAGCGGCCGCTCCGGTCCGCCGCGGCGCGAGGTGTGGCGGCGACATGGCGACACCTCCGCGCCGGCAGACAATGCCGCCGGCCGCCATATGGATGGCGGTGTCGGCGCGGCGCCCTCCGTCCGCGGCCGGTGACGGAGCGACTGCCCGGCCACAAAGTCGGCGCCGCTCGTCACGGCCGCGGAGGGGCCTCCATGGGCCGAGCTGCCACAGCCGCCAGAGCGCCGACTCCACTGCGGTGACCGGTAGAACAGCGTGCCAATAAGCACAGAGAGTCCGAACGACCGACGAGGCTGCCTGCCCCTCCCTACCGAGCCCACAGCCACTGTGGTGTGCCTAATGGGCGCATAATTAATCAGCAGTCTACTCACGTCCCCGTACCGCTGCCCCCGCATGTCGATCTGTTTTCAGTGTAATTTATACCCCACTCTGCAGGGCTCCGCAAACTACTCGGTAGATCGGAGCAGCAGCACGCCTGCACACAGGAATGTGCAAATGGACGGGAGGACGGCCATACCGGATCATTGTTTAAGTAGTGGACATACTCGCCACAGCCGGGCACATACAACTACATGGTCACCCAGAGGGACTTGCAGACGGCCCGCTAACGGCAACAAAGGGGGGGGGCAGACAGTACACTGTAGGGGGAGGCAGACAGCACACTAAGGAAGGGGCGGACGGACGGTACACTGACAAACAACCCGCTCCTGCAAGACCGAACACACGGCCTGAACACACGAATGTAGGTGAGTTGAGGAGACGTGTATGTGTGGGGGGAAGGGGAAAACAGTCAGTGGCCCGCCATAACTCCCTCTCCGGCCATGGGCCCAGCGCGCTCGTCTCAACCGACAGACCAAATGCAGTCTGCAGCCGGTAGACTGTATACGTCTAGTGTATACTCTGCAGCGTGCTATTGAGTCCCCCGCCCCTCTGCGGCGCCCGAGGGGGTCGCAGTAGTACGCGGCGGCCATCATTACTCAGTGGGGCTGGCTGGCGCTGGCTTGCATCATGATGGAGCGCCGTCTGTCCGGCCGAGCGTGGCTCTGTTTATCTGTTTGGACGGCTGGATAGCGGCGGCTCCCTCTCCGCCCCTCGCCGCCGCCGCGCCGCTGTGACCTCCGCGTGCCTCCGGCGGCGCGGCGCGGCCCGTCACGGCCCGCCCGGCTCAGACCACCTACCACCTTCTGCGCGTGAGCTCTCTGCACGCCCCCCCCCCCCCCTCCGCTGTCCCGGGGGGAGACAGATGGAGTAGGGCGCGCAGACGGTGAGTAACCGGCGCCGACCGGCGCGGCGGCGTCTCAGAGCACGGCGCCGACCGGCGGTGGCGAGTGACGGCTCCGATACACCCCGCTCCGACCCCGCGGCGGCCGAGAGGACGGACGGGAGGCAGACACCAACATTGCGCAGTAGGACCACTGCGCAGCACAGTACCGACTCGGTAGACTGCCGGCCACAGTTCATCAGTACACACCGAGTACGGCTCAGAACAACCCGACACCAGAACGGCCACAGCTATTACACTACATCGTCCTATACCCACATACTGCCCTCTGCTGGCCCACATCTGAGCCACCCCACATATGGATTACTGACAAACGCCAGCACAGCGCGGCCGCTAGCCACACGTTCGGAGCTTCGTTCTACGCAGCGCGCGAATACCGCGGCGGCCGGCCATCGGAGCGCAGCGGCCTTCGGTGTCATCGGATAGGCGGCCGGCGCGCCAAAACAGCCGGCAGGAACGCGGCCACAGCCGCGCCGCGGCGCCACCCCTCAAAGACCGCCCTGTGTCACGCGACCTCTCGTCGACAGGCGGAGCATAGCCGCGCGCGAGTCTCGCTGGTCAGCGGAACAGCCCCGGAACGGCCGCCGGCGCCGGGCCATGGACGGCCGCCGGAGGACCTGTCCCGGCGCCGGCCGGCGTCCCACCGGCGCGGCGCTTCCGCTCTTTCCCGGCGGCGGCGGTCGGACGCGCATTGCGCGGCGCGTGAGTCACACGGGCCGGGCCGGGACACGCCCAGCGTTCCGGCGCAGCGCGGTTCGGACCGAACCAGGCCGCCGGCCGCGCCACGCCCGCGGCCATTACACGCGGCGGTGGTACACATCGGCACCGATCGCAGTCGCCCCCCGTACATACATACGGGAGGCGGCGACGTCAGATGTTACATAGTGGCAGCAGAGAAAGCCACCAAGTCCTGTTCTTTTCTGTTCTCACGGACAGTTTTGACAAAACAGGCCTGTTAGCAATGAGCATCATGAGCAGCAGCAGCTAGGGGTCGACAAACGTGCGAGTTCGGGTAGCACGGGCGCAGCAAATCCCCCGCCGCCCTAGCGGTAACCTTGACCTCCGCCGTCTGTTGCGGCTCCAAAGCCAAGCCAGCGTGGAATTGGGAAAGCTCGTGCTACCCCAACTCGGCACAATTATCCACCCCGGCTGGTAGCAGCAGCATCGATGAAAAATGTGTGGGGTATCACGATTCCCGACTGTGGCTAGTGAGCTACCGACGCCCGACGGCCACGCCCAAAGACCTCACCGCCATCTGGTGAGTAAATACACTACTAACCACCCGCTGGCAGCACAGCAACTGGCCGGAACGCAGCGACAGCTGGAGGCCACTCACAGAACTTAACTGGCATAGATGACGCTGCGAGCGGCTCCGCGGTTCGAGTCGCCGTGAATCTGACCAGGAGATGGAGTAATGGGTCCTGTGGAGGTCCACCCCTACAGCTCAAGATCTCGGCGGCAAGCCGAGATCAATAAGTCAGTTTTGTGGGTGTCCCAGTGCGAATCGGCACACCGGCCAGATCCTAGGGGGGATAACGGAGCAAGACAAATGGCCACTGGTTTGTATTCCGCGTCCCGTGCCGCCGGGTGGTCAGACGGTCAACACTGCCACTCGGCAGGCCACTCGTTTCGGCCCGCGCACACGGCACAGCTACAATAACTGCCGCGGCTGCGGGAACGGCGGCGGTACCCCATGCACCCCATGTTCCTCCCCTGCCCAGTCAACGCGGCCGGACCGGGGAGCGGCATGCCGGAAACCAGACCAAAACGGTACTTACCTCGCCGTTCTTGTCCTTGGCCTCCTTGGCCTCTTTGTGCTTCTTTTCCCGGCGCAGGAAACTGAAGCTGCGGAAGCTGCGCTTCTTTTTTACCTTCTCCTTCTTCTCCTCCTTCTTTTCGTCCTTCTTTTCTCCCTCCTCCTTGCCGTTCTCCTCGGTCTTTCCGTTTTCCTCCTTCACCTCCGCGTCTCCTCCGCCGCCATTTTGCTTACACTCCTCTGAGGCCTCCTGCCGCACAGAAAAACAGGGAGCAAATTGTGACGTTGGCTGACTTATATTATTGGAAGCGAGTGTAGTGTAACACGTTACATACTTGTCACGTGCATTGAATGGAAAATTATTAGTGCATGATTGGGGGGACACGAACGAGAGTGTTACAGAACAAGTTACAGAATACATACTTTGGAATAATGAGTTAGTGAAAGTATTATAAGCATGAAACACAAATCACGTTAAAATGTGATGCAAACAGCCGTGCCAGGAGAGCGACTGAACCCACAACGCTGACAACATTGTGTAATTTATGGCACACCCGTGGAATCAGGCTAAATGCACAGTCTGATTGTAAAGTAGCAGATCTCACGGATAAGGACACAACATCAAATGACCACCTACCATGCAGCACCCAAATACCTATCGATCAATCCAACATTCAGGCGCTGCACAGCTCCATCGCCGACGGTGGCGAGCCCACCCCACCCAGCCCGCTCTTTCCCTTCCCCACTCCCTGCCATCCCTCCCCGTGACGCTGTCCTCTTTCACGAGGCAGCCCCACGCCCTCCTTCCCCACTCCCTGCCGCCGCTCCCTGCCCTATTCTCGCTGAGCTCCCTCGTCCTGCCCCGTCCCGGGGGCATCAGCAGCGGCGGTACCAATCGCCCGATGGCCGGCCGACCGGCGGCTCGGTCACAGCCGTGACCCACCGCGACTCCAGGCCCCAATCACTTGAGAGCGGAGGACCGGCCGCGGCGGCGAGCGATCGACCCCGCCCCGGGCGAGAGAAGGACCGTGCGACCCCGCCCGCTCGTCACTTGTCGGAAACGGGCAGCGGCCTTAAGCATGGTGAAATGCATACTCCACTTCCGTAGCTATTCCAGACTGCATCAGTGACAGCCTATCGCACTGCGTGGTCTTCACAAGCTCGCAACCCCCCCCCCTCCCACCTACGTGGTCCGGTACAGAACGCCGGACACCCCGCCGCCCGGACGAACAGTCCGCGACACACACAGAGGCAGATTCCGAGGGCTGTGTTGCGCCCCGACAGATACACGACAGGTAGGGACCGGACGGGGTGAGCCGGCTAGCACCTGCGTCTATAGCAGGTACAGGGTGTGCAGGGGAGCGGGCGGACCGCCGGGGAAGGGGACGCCGCGGATGACGCCACAGGGTCAGCTCTAAATCGCCACTTACCACCAGGGTTGTATACCAATCAAGTCGATTGAATTGATTGATTTGATTCAACGCGTATTTTGAGTTGATTGGATTGAGTCGATTGACTTTTCGAGATGACTGGTTGACTGACTCGTTTGACTTTAGCGACTGGTTGACTGATTTGATTCCCGAAAATTAGAATGACTCGTATGATTGAGTCGATTGAATGGAAAGTTGAAATAAGTTTTAGTTGACGAAAAATAATGACACCAATTGATGACATCAAAGATCACAAAACTACACTGAAAACTGCTTGTCATCACAACTGCAATATGGGGTAGATGGCCAAATAAAGAACAGGGCCTAAACATGAACAGCCAACTTTGACTTTCAACTGCAATAACTGCTCCAATCCTGTGATAGAACCTGGCGATGCACCTACCTACCTTTCTGCACTCAGCAGGAAACTTTTTTTTAATCCAGATGATAAAGTGCAAGGCCCTATATACTAATAAAGTGTGATTAATTACTAATTCACATCTCCACATCTCCTCAGGGCTCAGAAACAACCCACTGAACTCTATAAATATCTGAAACCCCTACAAAAATAACTGAAACAAAAGCGCCGTTTTCGTCTCGCTAACTACGTTTACATTAATAGCTAATTTGCTGCATTGTTTAATTTGCAGCAGAACGTTTGTTGATCCTTTTCTCCTGAAAGCCTAGGCATAACATATTTAATATATTTCATTTTCCTTAAAATATTTTACCGAATATTATTAAGTGGTTTTATTTCAAATGAAATAATAATTAAAACGAAATTGGTGTTGTACAACCGATTTATTATATGATGATCTACCATACTACATGATAATCAATGACGTCATCTTACCAAAAAATCAAAAGACGTAGAGTAAGGATTTATAAAAGCTTAGCATACTTCTTGGCAAAACGTTTTCTTTGTTTTTTCGCAGTCGCACCAACGGCACTTCCAAGTTGCTACGCGCCCTAACCCATAACAACAACAACCAACGGCATTTAATTTTCCTTGTTCTTCTTCCTTTGTCCTTAACGTATCCTGTGGTTCCAGAGTCCCTGTCCTTTCCATTTCCTTTTAAATATATTTTTAATGCTCATCCCTATCCCCCAGTCCTAACAGTTTCAAATTGTATTGCAATAAAATGTTTTGAATTCTTCACATATAACCTCTCTACCTTCGTTGGTACTGTTGGTAGCCAGTGACACATCTAGGCAGGTAAGTAGGTACCTACCTGCTTTCCTGCTGTCTTCATAAAGCATACCTAATGAAGTTGTCAAATTTATAGCACATTTTCAACACTTTCATATCAATATGGTGTCAGTGTGGCATGTAACCTAGCTAGGTTCATTATGTTCAGGGTTCAATTCAGAAAAGCTCCGCATAACTCACATAAGAGACAGACGGGGGCTTTACATGGGGTAGATGGCCTGATGACTTAGCTGGAATATGGCCAAAATTAAATTGATAACTTTTTGGTGAAAGGTGGTGATTTGGGTTAAGGGGCGTTTGTTGAAGTCAACTACTGGGTTATTTTGCAACCATTAAATGAAACTTCTGCTCCAATTCTACCCATTGAACCTCAATATCATGATCCACCTGTCCATCACTAGGTATCCTTCCTTATTACATCAACATAGAAACTTTGAATGGCATGGCAATTTATAATTTTAAATGACAATATTTTTGTTTCTTCTGTAGGTAGGTAGGTAGGTATAGGTACACCAGACTGCTATGGACACTTTTCCAAGTTGGTGGGGCAAAAAACCTAATGTATATCTTGGTTTGAGTCGTTTGATTGAGTTGATTGATTCCTTTCATTGTCGCGTTTGAGTCGATTGAATCAATTCCCGAAAACTGCTCTGACTTGATTGATTTGATTGGTTTCCCAAATTTGTCGTGATTGAATTGATTGCTATTAATTGAGTCGTATACAACCCTGCTTACCACACGTGCAAGAGGATTGAGGAGACAAGGGGAGGGCGACGACCCTATGCAACTGTGCAAAATTTAGCACTTTGCCCGTCCGGTGTTGCATGCAAATAAACGAGCCATGCACGACACCAGCCATGTCTCCTAATAAGCGAGGCATGACTGGTAAACGACATCGATTATAATGGGCTGCATTGTACTCCGGTCTACTATAAGGCTGTTGTTTGATGTGGGGATTTACGATAAGACAGCCGCTGCGCTGCAACCGAATGTCACCACAACCAGAACTATGGTTCCAAGAGGTCATGACGACCATTGAACATGCATCCTGTCCACATAAAAACTCATTTGAAGCCTTAAATGTAACCTTTCCAGATTGAAACAGCATGTCCGTCATTACACAGCAAGGTTTTCTGCGGAATTCAGACCTCCGACATCCTTCACTTACCACAAAGTAAACGCGCTTCAAACAGCACAGGAATGCGTTTACTCTGTATACGCTGCACTCGTTAAATCAACAACCACGGAGTATCAGTACGATAACCACATCGCAGCAGATGCCCATGCGTCATGTCTGCAAATACTCATCGGGCTGACAAGCATATGCTCATCAAAGGCCCTTGGGCGCCTTCCACAGTCCGCCGTTATGCGATATGACGCGCGATAGTGTAATAGAAGCCAGCACGGACACATCGTGCGTCTCCTAACAGTTTCAGACAGAGGATTAACGACAAGGGTAGCACGGCCTCCTCTGTGAGAAAACAATGTAAATGTGAGTCTTCCCGCGGCGGGGCGCGAGGTAGTGTGTGAGGTGCGCGATGCTCCGAGCCCCTCCCCTCCGCAGCCGGCCGTGAGCTAATGCGTGTGGCGCGTGTTGCTTCCGAACCCACCCCATGCCGCGTCTAAGGGCTCTCCCTGGGTTCGATCGTATTGGTGAACCGCAGCACCGCCGCTTATCTTATTGAATGAGACGGCACCGCTGGCCGAGTCAGCAGCAGCTCCAGTGGCGGAAACAGCTCGCAGCTGCGCCGAGCAGTTCAGGGGCTGGCTTTTCCCTCCCTTTGGGCCTGCCACTACCTTTGGTATGCTAGGAACCGTGAGTCTCCATGGGACAACCATTAGTAACAAGAGCATCAGCCACCACCCGTCTGGTTGGCGGTGGTGGCAGCGGCGAGAAGGCGGCGGTGTTTGTCTGCGTTTGTTTGTGTTTGTGCTAGCTACGGGTCGTTGGCAGTCGCCCCGGACGCACGGAGGCTCCCAGAACTGCGAGCACAGGCTGGCTCCGTGGGTGTGACGAGACGGAGAGCAGGAGCAGGGCGTAAGCATACGGCGCGAGCGAAATCAGAGGGAGAGCCGGTGTCTGCTGAAGGAAAAAGGTGACTCCGAACTCGTGCGGAACAGAGATAAGACCGTGAAAAATAAGCTGACGAAGAGTAATGAAGCAGCCGTGATGGTGGGAACAGCCATTTCTCACAATGACAATGTTGGCCTAAGCCTGTTCCCCATGTACGACACTGAGCTCAGAAGAGCCAGGTCGCTGCAGCGGTCTGCTCCTGCTACTACAGTCATCTACTTCGCTGACAACCGACGACAAGATTCGGGGACACGCAGCCAGCCTGCCGTTCGGTTCGCGATAACGCAGCCAGCCGGCGGGATGACCGGATCTGGTGACGTCCCGGGACAGCGCCGTCTCAGACACAGCGGCGTCCTCTCGGAGCCGCACCGGCACTGGGCTGCACCGAGAGCGGCGCTTCCCACGCTCTGAAGGTCGGGCACCTGCACCGTCCGGCCATGATACGCTCGTACCGAGGGCGTTCTGCTCGCTCTCCACAGCTGTTAGTGATGACAGAGACGGCGAATATAGCGGAGACAGAGGCAGGGACGGCAGCA